TAATCGAAAGGTGGCGTCGGCACAAATCAGTTCTCGTTAGAAAACTGCTAGTTGACGGATCAAAGTTGTAGCAATAAGGAGTAGTCAGTTTTCTATCGAGTATGCAAAATCAAACACAATGAAATTAGACCGACACAAAAGTGGTCCATTTCCAAATAATGGAAATTGATTAAATTAATATTTCTTGCTTTAACATTAGACGAAGTTGTTCGTAATGGTGGTAATGAATGTTGTAGCACGGTTTGAATAGTATGTGTTGTAATATATATATAATATCTTCAGATTAAATGAAACCTTTTGCAATTAAAATGAAACTTTTCGCAGCGGAAATGAAACATTTTGTAGTAGAAATTAAAATTTTTGCAGTGAAAATGAAACGTTTTGCAGTAGAAATGAGACCTTATGCATTTGAAACGAAACCTTTTGCAACCGAAATGAACCTTTAAAATTTATTGAAAGGAGCATAACAAAACATTTTTATTTTAGCATGTTTTAAATAAAATCAACAAAATATTACAAATATAAAAGTAAAGAGGAAATTTTATTGTTGATTATTAATATCTTTATGTTTATAATACTAGTCCTTAAATTTTCAGTTTCACAATATCATAAAGCGCAATTGTAGATGTATAAGAAGTAAAATTTTTGTTTTTCAAGGCCTTATCTCCTTTAATACCTTTTAAACCCCTACAACATGGATAGGAGGGTATATTAAATATTCGTCGTAGACCTCATAAAGTATGTACAATCATGATCTTAGTTTATTGAATGTGTCCACCTGTCTGTCTGTTGTAATTACGATACTGATATGGCATTTTATTGTATTGTGTCTGGAATGTTTGGTATTAGAAACGCTATCGGGATGTTATAAAGGCATTACATTGTGTACGTTATAAAGCGAACCATTCAATAGACCACATAACAAGACTGCTCTATCTCCATAACGATTTTGTTGTAATTTGTTAAAAATCAAACAAGTTGCGGGAATCCTTTAAATAAGATTAATAGTATATGATGACTATAAAACATAATTGTAAAGCATAATTTCGCATTTCAGTCCTGCCATACTATTTATGGTAACAAAGGCCAAAATTTGTTTTAATTTCTCTTTTTAGCGTTAAGTAATTATATGGAAATATTTTCTATAAAATCAATAAAGAACAATTTGTTATTATAGATATTAATATAGATGTTAATATAGATATTGAAAATCAACAAATATTCTTCTTTAACTATATGTTAGAAATAATTAGTTGATTTCATTCTAAGCCTACTAAAAATAAAAATGTTTTGTTATGTTTCTTTCAATAAATATAAAAGATTCATTTGATTTGCAGAAAGTTATATTTCGTTTGCAAAGGGTTTCACTTCATATGCAAATTGTTTTCCGCTACAAAAGGTTTCATTTCCACTGCAAAAAATATAATTTCAATTGCAAAAGTTTTCATTTAATCCGAAAATGATATAAATCAAATATTCTGTATCATTTCTCATGTTCTGGACCAAAATATGTTTTGTCTACAGCGTTTGTGGATGTTTAACATTAAGGCATTCCGCAGATCATATGGTAGATATGTAGTTAAACTTTCATTTAAACAAAATTTAACACTTTGGTTCTTCAAGACGTACTGCCATGGGCCAATTTTTATGGATCGAAAAAAACCTGAACGAAATTCATATCAGGTCATATTAAAAAAGATTTCCAACCTAGAAATTGTTGACCATAACCGCTTTCTTTTCTCACCAGACCTACTTTGCAAAACGGTTTAATTTAAACGAACAACAGTCTCAAAGGATTTTGTTTTGAACGTCTCAGATACAGAAAGTAAATGACTACGGTTTGCAAATCGTTACTTTTAGGGTTAACTGTACGCCATATTTAATTAAATCGATATTCCAACTGTATCGATAACCAACGTTTAAAGTAGCGATGAAATTCGAGCCTGCAGCGTGGTTAATCCCATCCTAACAGTTGTGGACCGATGGAATAAATAGGGATGAAGTAAATAAGACCCATTCATTGTCAAATATTTCTGAAATAAAAAATTAAATCCCTCGTTGGATTTATTACTCTATCGAGAGCAAAATACTAATACGAAATATATTAATGGACTCATTTACTATTACATGGATTAGCAAACCACCTTATAACTGAAAAACAGTTGTGGTTAACAAGGTTTCTGCAATATTAGATAATGTCGGTAATGCCAATATGGGACACGTCTCATCTGCCGATAATCCGAGTCTGTCCAAAATGGTTATCCGAAGAACCTCAACACTGACCAAAATACTTGCTTATGTATTCCGCATTATTCGCGGATATAGATAGTTTGTACCCCCTGGTCTGCGAAATAAATATTACTAGTTAATGAAATCTCATTTGCAAAGGATTTGGTATGGTTCCGTTATATCCAACATAATAACCCACATCCTTTCTCCTAATCATTTTGAATTGTTCGTATATTCTTTTCCAGAAAACAAACACAATTGTTCCCACTGTATTTTAATGTAATCAATTCTAGAAAACGATAACTGCATTTGAAAAAAATTGCTTGGATTTTAGGATTTAGATAATACGATTCATTTCCTTTATACTTAAGTGTTAAAATTGTTAAAGCTAATTGCTCTTTCAAATAATTCTACGAATAAGTTTTAATGAAAATCCAAGACAAGTAGTTTATTTGTTGGTTCAGAGAATAATTTGTAAGATATATATTGTTTTCGAGTGAATTGCTATTGGAGTCCTGTAACAATTGGCTAGGCCTTTACTAACGGTCAGTTTTTTTCTGAAGCCTATTAGTGAATAAATGGAACAACTGATAACTATTAAAATTCTTCTGAAGTATTTGTTGGGTTATATAGACTTACTGTCCCATACTTTAGATATGTTTTTTCAGATTGCCTATTTTCTTACTATATCTTCTTACATTGGAAAGGTAATGTCATTTCAAATATGCATTCCATAGTAGTTTATATGAAGTGACACAACAAAGCAAGTATTTTTTATTTACATTTCTCCAAACAATTTTGTAAAAAATGTGTATAATCAATTCAATATGTATATGTTTAAAATATCAAGACTGAAGGTGGAGTTGCAAACATAAGGAACATTTTACCACATGCACTCCTAGGTTTCCTATATTTGGGCAAGTCTTTACTTCCAGATTTATTGACCCTATAAAATTCCGTTAGTGCTTTTTATATATCGGTTGTAAAACCAACCAATGCAATGTGCGTATCAACACCGGCTACGGTACAATGTTCTAAATTTCCTCCTTTTAAAAAGTACAAAAGCTGTAAATTCGGCCGGGCCGAACTTTCAATACCCTCCACCGTTTGGAACGAATTTGGCAATTTCCAAAAAAAACTTGAATAAAAAACTCGTTGACTAATGTCACTAAAATCATCAAAGTACCGAATATCGGGAGGTACCGTTCTATAGGGGCTGTATGAAGACATGGACCTGTACAGAAAATTTTCTGTCGTAGGCTGTAGTATCCGCTACGAACTTAAAAAATCAAAATTGAAACAATTCCGCTGAATAATGTCGCTAAAATCCTCAAAATACCGAATAATGGGGGTACCGTTATATGAGGGCTATACGAAGACATGGACCCGCACAGACAATTTTTTCGAGAAGTTACAAACGGAATGACAATCTTAATATACTCTCCATACTATGGTGGAGGGTATATTAAAGTTTTATTAGGTAGCCGGCCTTTTAGGGGCGCTAGAGCTAATTAATAAAACATTGGAGGACCATATCCCTGGTATGGATTTCAGTATATAAATTGCTGTATTCAGGACCCCGTGAGGCCTTAACCCCTACGGTTTACCAAAGAAATAGTAATTTAATAAATTTACATTGCTTGGAAATTCATCTCTTTTTTTTGGTTCTAATTTCATTGCGTGTGATTTTGCATGTTCGTTGGAAAACTGCCTACTTCTTATTGTTACAACTTTAACCTGTCAACTAGCAGTTTACTAACGAGTATTGATTTGCCCCAACGGCATATTAATCTTCGTATCGGTCGAACGTAACACGTGTAGTCTTTTTGCCAATTTTTCTATTTTCCCTAGTTTTATTTATTTATTTATTACCAAACAACTATAATTTGAATTTAAAATCTAAAACAATTGTGTGGTTTTATTTCTTTTCTTTTATTTATCAGAGCACAATTTCGGTACATTTACATTTTGATTCATTCGAACCGGACGCGCGCCTTTAGAAACCTTTGCTAATTTTATTTTGTTTTTTTTTTACGCAGCCATCAAAAACATAATAATCATTCTTATTAACATCATGCCCCATCATCATCACCTGCATAAACAAAACATAGGTATTTTTTTATTTTTGGGAACTCACGTTTCAAAAATAAAAAAATTAAAAATATAAATAATAATAATAATAACAAATGAAAACAAACAAGCGTCCACAATTGAACAGTACAAACAAGTGAAAATAAATATTTATTGCAAAATATTAATTGTTGAAAAAGTGCTTAAAATTGGTTCAAATAGTGAATTTTTCTATTTGTGAGCGGTGGTAATATTATTAAAAAAGCAATCTTGTTATCTTTCGATTATTTATTAATAAAAATAAATATTATATATAAAATATTAATAAAAGTAAACTTTTATGTAAAATAAAATCTCTCACATTCCCTTTCGAAAGAGCATAACGTAAAAAAGTAACACCACCAAATTGCTAAAATTTTGTAATATTCCTGTTGCTTCGATGTTTAATAATACATAATAGTCGAGTAGTCATGTGTAGAAGTTTTTGGAACCCTCCATGGCCTTATGGGCTAGTTACCTAGTATTAATTGAAAATAAATAAATAAAAAAATAATCATATTTATGTATGTAAATATGATTATTTTTTTATTTATTTATGTTACACGTGTAACATATTTATGTTGAGTGATCAAACGTCTCGTTATAATTCACATACATATCTTTGAAATTAAACCTTTTTTTTCGTTTTCTTTTGTTGATAGTGAATAATTAGTACGTTGGGAACAAAGAACAAAGAAATAAATTGCAAATTGAGTTGCGGCGTTTGTATGACTACAGTTGAAGGTAATTCTGGACATTTTAATTTATCGCACATGCATATGTTAAGATTCATTCGCTAGACCGATTCACGTTCTAGGTTCACATTTAATTAACTAAACCCTCCGATTTCTGCCGACCTTTTCCCCAAGTCTAATAGTGCGACTTTATTGTGTCGGGCCGACCTTCCCAGTGCGAGCTACTTGCTCAAAACAGAGTCTCGTCTATTCATCGATAGAAGACCAATTAAGATAACCCATTTCCGACCTAGACGGAATTTGGATACGCCAAATCACAGTCACATCCGTATTTGTTGCCACTCTTTAGTGGCAAGGGTTTCAGATCTTTGCCACGTAACCCCTCACAAAGCCGTCAATGAAAAGGTCTAGGAGGCATTCCTACGATTGCATATCCCTCATTTTTCCGACCAAGTCGGGTTGCGTTGGTGCTGGGCGCTGATGTATATTCGAAGGTGGTGAATCATCGTGTACAGACGCATCGCAGATTACCTATAGCACAATACACCATATCTGTTTGGGTATTGCCTGGAACTTGCTACAATTAAAAGAACTTAAAAAATCCGAATTTTCTAACACATGAATTTTACAAAAATCAATTTCAATTGCTCACAAAACGACACCGCATCTCCTATTTCGTTATATATAGCATTTTCATATTAAATGAAACATTCTGCAATTGAAATGAAACTTTTTGCAGCGGAAATGAAAATTGTTGCAGTTTAGATGAAACTTTTGCAGTGGAAATAAGGCCTTTGGCAGCGGAAATGAACCCATTTGCATTCGAAGTGAAACCTTTTGCAACCGAAATAGAATTTTTTGCCAATCAAATGAAACTTTAGATTTATAGAAAGAAACATAACAAAACATTTTTAATTTTAGTAGGTTTAAAATGAAATTAACTAATTATTTCTAATATATTTATTGATTATTAATATCTATATTTTTATACTATTTCTTAAATTTTCAGTGTACACGAATGTATATATAATAATATAATAATTCTAATAAATATTCTTCATTGTAACTAACTATAGCTAGGCGCTATCTAACCGAAGTAATTTGTTTTCATAAAAAATGGATTTAGTGTAAGTAAACAACTTTTTGTTGGGATAGGCTGAAGAGATACCATCAAAAGTTGATAGGGCAGACATTTGAAAGATCTGTCATCGATACGAGACCATATGATCTGCAAGTTATCTAGTGTTCAACTATAAAAACGATCAAAGATCACTTGGCTTTAGCCTAATCAAAGCACGCGTCCCAAAGGACCTTGTTTATAATGCATGTATTAGCATCAGAATTGCCATAGTTATCCAAATAACTATGAACCATAACTGATATAATGAACCTTTTGTGGTTTCACTGTTAATTCGTGTGTACTTACCCATGACGGCTTTAGTGCTAGCGTTGTGAATGTATATTTTATAAACGAGATTTCAGACCAGGGGGTAGAATCTGTTTACATCCGCGCATAAAGCAGAAGACATAAGCAAGTACTCGTAATGCTCGATTCCACCTTGAAAATATTTGTAGGCTTCTCCATCAATTTGAGTATGAAAATAAATTACTCGAGTGAACCTTCTTGAAAAGCTAGTGGCTTTGCACAATCTTGAGGTTCTTCGGATAACCATTTTGGACCATGTTATCACAAGATACTGGATTTATGTTCAGCAGCAGTACATCCACGAGTACCAATATCAGTCGAATTATCGACAGATGAAACATGTCCCCGATTGGTATTACCGCCATTATCTAATATTGCAGAAACCTTGTTAGCTACAAAAAATTTCCACAGATGGTTTGCTAATCGATGTAATGGTGGAATGAATCCATTAATAGATTCCATGATTCGAAACTTCGAGATTTTCACCAAAAATTTTAACATCTTGTTAACATTGCTTCTCCATACACTTCATCTCTGGGCCTCAATTCTTGTTCTATGAAATTTTAATATGAATCCTTTTTCTTAAAAAAAATGAAATGTCAACTGAAAATTTTTAAAATGGAAATATTTTTTATTTCATATTCTCATAGAACAAGAATTGAGCCCCTTGACAGACTACTCGTTCTAAGTGGTGCAACTCTAATATATGTAATATTATCCGTAGAGGTGGAAACTTACCAACTGTTTAGTACTTTGGTACTTTGTAGAAAACATTTTCCTTTGCACTCCACTGAATGTCTAATTCTTTTGTCTCATTGATATTTTCATGCTGTTATTTTCTTCAATGGAAAACACACGGAGTCTATTAGCTCCGGAAAAATATCATTAACAAAAATGTTATTTTCAGGATACAAGATGCAGTTGGATGTGAACTATTTTCACTGAATTCAAGCAATGCTCTGATGGCTGAATATGGCGCACAGTTAACCGCAAATGTAATAGTTTGCAAAGAGTAATCATGAACTTTCTGTATCTGAGTAGTTCAAACAAGTAAAAAAACATTAAGTTCGGCCGGGCCAAACTTTTAATACCCTCCACCTTAGGGTAAAAGAAACATTAGAAGAAATGTGGCAAAAACCATTAAAATGCCGATTATGGGGAGGTACCGTTATATGGGGGCTATACCAAAACGTGGACCTATAATTACAATGTTTCGCCACCGGAGGTGGAACCCATTATGACCCACAAATACCAATTTTTAGACAAATCAGTGAAAAAATGTGGCAAAAATCATCAAAATACCGAATATCGGGAGGTACCGTTATATGGGGGCTATATCAAATCATGGACCCATGCATGCAATGTTTCGCCACCGAAGCTGGAACCAATTATGACCAACAAATACCAATTTTCGAACAAATCCCTGAAAAAATGTGGCAAAAATCATCAAATTACCGAATATCGGGAGGTACCGTTATATGGGGGCTATACCAAAACGTGGACCTATAATTACAATGTTTCGCCACCGGAGCTGGAACCCATTATGACCAACAAATACCGATTTTCAGACAAATCCGTGAAAAAATGTGGCATAAATCATCAAAATACCGAATATCGGGAGGTACCGTTATATGGGGACTATACCAAATTATGGACCCATACATGCAATGTTCCGCCACCGGAGCTTGAAACCATTATGACCCACAAATACCAATTTTTAGACAAATCGGTGAAAAAATGTGGTAAAAAAACTAAAATACTAAATATCGGGAGGTACCTCTATATGGGGGCTATACCACAACGTGGACCTATACATGCAATGTTTTGCCACACGCTCAGGGACCCGCTATGACCTACAAATACCAATTTTAAGACAAATCCGTGAAAAAATGTGGCATAAATCATCAAAATACCGAATATCGGGAGATACCGTTATATAGGGACTATACCAGAACGTGGACCGATATATCTCATTTTCAATACCAACCATCCTAGACACAATGCAAATAGCTCTGCTAAATTTTGGAGCTCTACGTCAAATAATGTGGGCTGTATCGTGATTTCAACAGACAGACAGACAGACGGACAGACAGACAGACGGACACCGTTAAATCGACTTAGAATTTTATGCTGATTATGAATATATATACTTTATGGGGTCTAAAACAAATATTTAGGGATGTTACAAACGGAATGACAAAGTTAATATACCCTCCTTTCCAAGGTGGAGGGTATAAAAAAAATCCCTTTGAAACTATTAGTCGTTTTTATGAACAACAACATTTCAAGACGACGATCATTAGGTCAGTGTCCATAATATCGTTCAAGGAAAGTTCAGACCTTTGTGGATATACTTTACGGAAAGCCGGTATAGTCCAAAATTTTTATGTTTAAAGTTTTTTTCATATGACTTAAAGATACGTAATCTGAAAAGACTTTATTGTATTCTTCAGATAGTTGGGAATTTCGTTCAAGGGTTGATTCTGTCCTTAAGTAATGACCCTTGGCAGTATGTCTTGAAGAACCAAGGTGCCAATTTTTATTTAAATTGAAGTTTATCTTCATATCTACAATGTGATCTGCATTATACAGGTTTTTTGTAGAATTCTTAACACCACATGTCGCCAATTGGAGACATTTTCTAATTCGCAAAACTGTTGTAATTTTTGATTAAGTGGGTTAACAGTTGCTGTCCAACAGGCGAAGGAAACAAAAAAAATTGAGGTGAGCTTGCCACTATCCACCCAAATTTTGTATCTTGGGCAAACAGATATCTAGATATATTCTTTTCAAATCCCGGTTTAATACGACATTGCTACCAATGAGCAAATTAATTGGAGCGAGCCTAAACAAGTTGGGATCAGCTAACTCTAGAGGTTTCAGGTTGGTAAAATCATAAATAGCTCTTGGAGAAGGGGGCATGACTTAAGTTTTAAATCACAGTGGCAGAAGCGGTTACCTTGATATCGGATGTTCTGGACTTGGATGTGAGCTCGCAAATCTTTGACGAATTTTCAAGAAGAGTTGCACCTAGACCCGAAATTATTGTATTGGATTTGTTGTAGCCAAAAAGGATTCTTGACATCCTTGATCCATAAGTGCGCTAATAATAAAACCTTGATTCCTTGATGTTCTACATCCACCAAATCTGTACGCAAAACAATTTTATGTCCAAATTGTGAGAAAGTATTCGGAATATTTATCATCCAAAATTTATACGTGGACCTTGCCAATTTGGTCTTTGATGAATGCCTCCAACGGCATATAGCAGGGTGTGATGTGGTGGCTTGTAGGTTATAAATATTTGCGTTTAAATTTTTTAACAATGTGGCCGTATGATAAAAAATGGTCACATATTTTATTGTCATAAACAAATTTTATTTTTTTCTGAAAGTGTCCAAGAACGGAATTTAGCACGATCTTAAGGAGTGATCTGCCTAACAAGATCTACATACTCTACGAGGGATACCTGTGGATGTGTTGTGCGTGTTTACTCTATATGAATTGACGGCTTCCTTATAATTTGATTCCATTGTATTTAATCTTTTAGACATAAAGTTATCCAAGTGATCCCAAAATTTAATAAACAATTTTCCCATACTGTCAATGTTTCTTCGAGTAAATTTGAGGAAACCCAATATGCTAACATTGGATCCAAGGAGATGACAGGAATGTTGATGTCAAAAGAACAGAGAGACACTATTTACGGTATAAATTTCTGAAAGGTTTACCCTTTTCAGAAGAAACATTGTCTATCTCAAAATTTAAATAAAATTTTCCAAAGGAAGCAGCTTATTATCTAATGCAAATCCCTGTGTGACAATGGAGAAAATGAAAGCAGACCTTGCGGGTAAGATAATAAATTCAAGAGCAAAATTGATAATATCATATGTTTTAAGCATATAAGCTAGGAGTTGCGATGTATTACCCTGGACGTTGCTGTGATAAAAACGTCATTCAAGGAAGGGGGTATACAACCCATAAACAGGAAATACACTGTTGCATACATTATTAAAAAGTAACATGTAGAAAAATTTCTGGGTAGATTAAAAACCAATTTCAGTGCTCTGTTTTGCATTCTTTGTAGCGCTTTCAAAGCTACATTATATCTGTTATACGTTATTAAACAATTATATTTCATGAATTTAGACTTGACATCTAATTTATTTTTAAACTTGTAAAGAACACCTAATGCTGGAGCAATTTTCATCTTAATTGAGTCGATATGTTCATCCCATGCAACGTTATTTTGCAATATTACACCAAGATACTTGACACAGTCTGTTTCCTGTGTTAATTGTCCATCAACGATAACACTAAAGCAAGTATTTGTGGGATTCGGTCTAAATATTATGAGTTTTATTTTACCAGGATTTAATACTAGTCTGTTTAACCTAGCATATTCAAATAACAGAGCAGAGTCGCCCCTAATTACGAAAGCCGGCTACCTAATTTAACTTAGATAGTTAAAGGAGGTTTAGTCGCCTATTTAATAACAACCAAAAAAAAACTTAATTTCGACCGAGTCGAACTTTTAACACCCTCCACCTTAGGGTAAAGAAAACGTTAGAACCAATTATGACCCACAAATACCACTTTTGAGACAAATCCGTGAAAAAATGTGACAAAAACCATCAAAATACCGAATATCGGGAGATGC